GGTGGTGATTAGAACGTTCTATTTTTTGGGTTGGGTGGGGGTGAGGCTGGGGTGGATAGGATAGAAGACTGTCCACCCAACTTTTTGACCGTTGATGGATTTGATGGATCAAGATTTAATTTGATGATTAAAGTAGCGCAATTCATCTTTATTTGGTTGTTCCGTAGATTAATAACTGTATTCATTTGTTTTAAGTTCTAATCTTTTTGACATTGTCACTTCATTTTGTTAGTTCCCATGAATGTGAGAAACTCAATTTACCGAGAAGCTTAAATCATAGGATCTTTAGCCAACCTAACCTAACAGTTGTCAACCATGTAGCATAAACACTTGTATTCCGAAGTCTTTTATGTTGGAAATGCTATTTCTGTTTTGTGTATTTGTTCTGGAATTTACTGTGTGTCAATGTGCCTGGTTGTATCATGTCCATGTAGTTGGTATTTTTTGCACTTGCAACATAGCTTAAAGTTTCCCCATGTGGAGAGGGAGATTGAGATTATTTTTCATTAAGTGTTTGGTTTGTTTCAGTTCACCTGTTTATTTGCTTATTTAGTTTTTACCTGAAAAATAGGTAATGAAGACTTTGGCCAGCAAAAAACTAATGATATTGAGAATCATATACATGAGGTTCAGAGTGACATGGTCAGAGGGGATGGAAAAGGTACTTGGTATAGAAGCTAATACTTGTTTCGTTATATAATTTATGATATATTTTTTACGTCTTCGTTGCTTATAATATAATAACGTTATAATTTTCAAATTAATCTTCTGGAATTTATCATAAATCTGGATATGGGATAGATGCACAGATTGAATGTTTACAAATTAACCTATCTAAAACTCCTTTAGGAGCAAAATTTGATAATACAACCGTAAGGAGAAGATCAAAGCATGGAGATAAAGAAGAAAATGTTATGGAATCAGGAATGGTTCCTGACAAGCAGAAGAAAAACAATGGCAGCATAGATGAGGAAAGTATGGCTGCCAGGGATATCAGATCAGAGAGTGATGATGATGTTGTCCTTCTAAAGAAGAAGCAGCCTGTTGGTTCGGCTGTTAATTTACAGAATGATGGGGGTCATAATACATCACGAGTAAAGTTTGTCTCAAGTACTGTCGCCGATGACCCTAAGCCACTGCTGAAGCTAAAATTTAAGAACCCATATTTTGAACAGCGAAGCTCTTGGGCATCTCGGGGAGAGGAAGAGAATCCTGTTAAAGGACAACGTTCAAAGAGAAAAAGACCTTCAACAACATTTAAAGTTGGTGGTGGCACTGGAGAAGAAGAGAACTCTAATACACATCTTGCAAAAATTCCTTCAACCGACCAAGAAATGGAAGCAAACTGGATACTGCAGAAGCTTGGTAAGGATGCGATTGGAAAAAGAGTTGAAGTGCATCATTCATCAGACAATTCTTGGTGAGGGTCCTTCATGTTGCTTATTTATCAGTAGCTTAGTTTTAGGGTAGTTTAACATTTTTGTTTCTTTGTGAAGGCGTAAAGGAGTGGTTTCAGATGTCACTCTCCAAGGAGGCAGTAAGTCATCTTCATCTTTGTTAGTCCTTTTAGATGATGGAAGATCGACAACCTTGGATCTCAGGAAACAGGCAGTTCGTTTTGCCTCACAACAGCAGAATAAAAGGGCAAAAACACGATACTGACAGCGAACTACTTCCTCATTCCTACTGTATGTATAAATTTTTTTCCTTGTATTCACGTTCGAGGAGACGGAGACTGGAGATACAACAGGTGGCCGAATGTAATGATTCCTTCTAGCAGGATATACGGGGGTGGAAGGAGGTTTACGATCATTGTCTGTTCATAATCATACACTAAAAGTTCAGAGCTGTTATGTTAGAAAATGTGTATGTATATGATGACTAAGGTGAGCTTGCTCACTCATTCAGCTCCCTTCTCCGCCTCAAAGCAAACATCTGAACTCATTTGTATCAATATTATCGTTAGTATGATTTTGGCTTATCCAGATTCTCTGAAATGAAGTGATTTATTTTCTGTAGTTGCTGATTGATTATTCATACCGCAGGACGTAGGCGAAATGAGTCGTGGTCTAAGCCTGTTTTGGGATTTCAGTGGTAGACTATCGATATGTAATTTGCTTGCTCTACAAAGGGGGATACCCATGATGTAGCATCACCATCAAGCTGAATTCAAGGGCTACTTCAGTCATATAATGTGTTAGTCATCTGAATGTAACTTAAATCCTTTTTGGTTGCATTCAGATGTGAGCAGTCTGCTCTACAGTTACGCATGTATTTTATTTTATTTCTTGGTGCGAGGAACATTAGCTTAGTATCAAACAAGAAAAGCCTGGTGCTGCCCCCTTTCGTAGTTTAGGCCTAACAAATAAAGTGTACTATCATGTATAGATTTGAGCGTTGGTTATTGATTTTTGATACATTGGTGTGTTTATAGGCCGGGCTAATAGTAGCCAACATCTTCAATCTCAAGGGCCAAATCCTTATAGTCCTCCGCCAACTCGAATAAATAGGAAATAATCGTTATAAGGACTTATGGATTAACACAAAAAAAAAAAAAAAGGGGTAAAGAAAACTGCTTTGTTGAGAGTAAAGCGGGAATGTTTTCAGCAAAAATCTACTCATGGCGACTGAATAAATTGGAAATAATAGTTATAAGGACTTATGGATTAAAATATTCAGTTTCAGTTCACCACTAATCTCAACCGTTGATGGGAGTAAAGTATGATTCATCTTTGAATTATTCATCTGTGACTCGTTCCCCTCCCTTGAAACCCACCGAAAAACCAGTCCAAAACAACAAACTCCACTTCTTCCGACATCTTTTATAAGATTGGGATTGCATATTAATTCTCATTCTGATCAGAGATTAGATTTTTATTTTTATTTTTAGGTTTTAGACCTAGAGGGATTAGATCCTTGATATTGATTTTATTACAAAATATTTGTAGAAATTTAGTAATTTTTGATTGCAATGGATACCAGCGGGGGCTTGAATTCAACAATGATCGACCGGCTGAGGATGTGCGGGTTCGGAGATACCCACCGCACCGACTACAAAATCTTCATCTTCAACATCATCCTCATCATCTTTGGTACGAAAATTTGCCATTTGCTCCTTCGCGGCTTCGGCCAGCCTCGCATCGTCTCCGAGTTCATT